AAGGTTTTTTTTTTTGCTGGCACGTGTTTCCGTGTGTGGCGGATAAGGAAGCGTGACATCATGGCAGTAACCATCATCCGATTTAAAGAATCCAATTTGAAGATTTTGTTTTTTTTAAACTAAATTTACGGATATAAGACAACACGGCACAAATCCTCGCCCACACCTCCTACCCTCGGCCTCCCCTCCCCAAACGTCCTCACACTGTGCCCACACTCTCGCCCGCTGACCTCGCTGTCGACAAGTCCAATTATATTTTTACGTGCCCGGCACGACTGTGTATATAAAAACAAAAATACAAATTCTGCACATGCTCGCAGTAACCCGTACGCGAACGAGCGCAATTGTTTGGATTTCGCTTTTATAGGAATGATGGTAAAAAAGAAAGATGTCTGTTCATTAGCGCAGCCACACATTTCGTCTCGGCGGAGTGGGGGTGGGGGGTGGTGTTGGGCGCGGGTGGGGAGATTGGGGGTGGAGGGGATGGCTGTTAGGGGGTTGGCGAGGGGTGTCGTTACGAGCGGCCTCCAAGGGGACGAGCGAAAAGCCACAATAAAAAGCGGTTTTCAATTTTCGCCGCGCGCTCTTCCGAGCGTTGGGCGCGGCGTCGGTGGCGGCGCAGGGATGAGGTCATGCGGCTCACGTTCACGCAGCGCACAACGGCCCGCATGCCACATCCCCCCCACCACACCCTCCTCCGACCATCACGATCCGAGATGGTCCCCAGCATTCAAATTGTGTAGCAGCGCCAGGCACGACGTTGTATTCCCCCGCCCGCCACCATCCTTCCGCTCCCCCCACCACCCCACCCCAAACAATCATTCCTTCAACGCCTTGGCTGTCGCGTTCGTTTGGCTCATTGCGATGTTTGCGACGAGCACGGTCTGGGCAATTGCGTTCGCTTGGAATCATTTTGACGTTTTTCACGCGACCGTGGCTGTGGCCATCTACCCGATAAAGCCGTCGTGCGCAGCTAGCGCAGCGAGCGATATTGCGGGAGAGGCAACGGCGGAGAGAGGTAGATAGGGCCCGGTCCACGTGCCAGCTACGCAGCCAGCGCCTAGTTCATGTTTTATTCATAAAGTCATCGCAGAAGCACGGCTGCTCACGACGCTCTCCGTGTCGGTGAAGGGAGAACTCATAAGGGGATGACGTCATTATTCTCCGTCCACACTCACACCAACACAGACCATCTGAGCCCACCTCCCAACTCCAATAAGAATGTTAATTACATTGATCAGAGTTATTTGTTTGTGATGGGATCGTTGGGGAACCACGGTGGCGAGATGTTAACTGCCTCACCTGGCTTAAAGGAGGTCGTGGGTTCCATCCCGACCATGACGGTCTGTATATTTTGAGTTTGCGTGTCTTTCTCTCCGTGGTCGCATGGATTTTTCTCCGGGTCCTCCGGTTTTTCCCCCCTCTTCATTATTTAGAATCAACGCACGCTTAGAGTATTTGGCTGCTATAAATGTCCACGTGAAAAGCCACTTCGTTGATCATTTGTGGTGGCCACAGCTCGGTGGGCCTTACCTGGTAAAATAAAAAAAATAGTAACATAGTTTAGCATGGAATTCTCCCTGCAAAATGGGGAGATGTCCCTGCGTGTAGCGGCGGCTTGAACAATGTGAAGTGGGTGCAAGCGATTGTCCATTGTTTTCCATGCCGACCGTACACATCTAGACTAATGTACATAAATAATAATTTTATTTAATAACGCAAGCACTTTGTCAATCAACTGCTGGATGAAAGCCCCATCGAGGCGTACGAGCCACGGGGGTTATTTGACCACACCTGACCAAGCTGGTCGGTGCTGGTTGGCGAAGAACAGGGGGCGTTCAGGGTGTCAGATATCAGGATGTTCAGATATCACATGCCACTGATATCCGCCGTGGCCAGGACTCAAACTCAGATTGTCGGGTTGGCGGTGCAATACGTTAACCACTGTGCCACCGCTCGGCCATTGTGCATATACAAATCATTAAATACACACGGCACGCATAGACACGGCAATGGGTCCTACACATGGAGCAGCAAGCGGGTCGCATTCACAGTGGGCTGGCGTCGCAAGTCTGACCTGCACAAACGTAATCATTTGGTCTTAATTAATCAAACCGGCACCGACTGTAACAATCTCATTATAAGTTTCCCTATAGTAACACCGTGAAGCTCCAGATCACAATAATAATTCAATAATTCACACGTCAGTCTGGCCATAAATGAAGGTCAGCGGCGGGATGCTCTCACGCGGTGACCTCGGCTGCCCGCCTCTCTCCTCTGCATTCCCGTGCCCCCAGTGAGACTCCCTCACCGGGCATCGCGCGGACAGCGGAGAGCTCAGCGGAGCGCGCCCAGGCGCCACCCTCCGCTGTCGGCGACGCTCTAAATGTGAACGCGAGCGAGCGAGCGAGAGCGCGCCAGCGAGCAGGGTCGTGTGAGGACACGAGCACAACGTACGGCAAGCCTGACAGGCAGGGAAGCGGTGAGCCCAGCAGAGGTGGAGAGAGAGAGAGGGGAGAGAGGGAGGGAGGGAGAGCGAGGATGCAACCGAGAGAATGGGAGAGAGATGGGGAATCGTTATGGCTGTTAAACCCGGAGAATCGCAATTAAGATCTATTAGCGGGAAGGACAAGGCGGGCAGCCATGATGCTTCCGAGGCTTACGGACGCAAACGTTTACCTGTTCGCCATTTCCCTTCCTTCAGCGCGATGAGCACCGCCCTTCGAGCGTCCAGGGCGCTTGCCAAAACGCCCTGGACACTCAAAGGCGACTTGCAATCACTATCCCATTTGAACCATCCCAATGCCTTGCTGCGGTCGATGCAAAGAGGACCCCCGGATGGCAGCTGTCCCTGTCCCGGCACAGGATGTCCACAAGCACCGGCCTGGAGGTGGGCATTCGTCCTCCCAGTAGGGTGCAACTAATGGCATGCGTAGCTCGGTGGCCAGTCCGGCTGGATTGCGCAATATGAAAACCTTCACAATGTAGGCCGTTTTGTGAAAATATACACTCAATGCGTTCTGTAGGGTTTTTTTTTTAATGGAAATTCCCGAACAATTTTAAATGGGAGATTCTCTTTCCAGCCCTTGGGCAAATCCACCCTGCTGGTCACAGTTGCGGCACTGCACCTTTATCCACCGCCTTTCACGAGAAAGCTTAGCTTTTAGGAATACAGTCCACAAAACAACTAGAAATTGTTAAAATGTTCCTCTTCAAAAAAAGATTTATATCGAAATTCTAGAGTGACGCATTTTAGTGGACGTCGTACACACAATGACAAAAAATTACGTATTTTGCAAAAACCGTGCACTTCCACACCGAGGAATCAAACCACAAGACTGCTGAATTCCACAAAAACCTCGAGTCTAAAAATGTCAATCCGGGTCTCCATTTCACTTTGCCAGCGACCGCTGCACGGCAGCGCCGCAGTGCATTAACAAAAAAAGATTAAAACAACCTCCTTACGTCTCGCCGAATGCCACGATAAATGATGCCGCGACGGTGGAGCAAGGCATCGGGGGCCGACGGGAAGCCAACGGGATGACATCATTAGGGATGCACAACGGAGCTCGCCTAATGGAGCTGCCATCTGTCGAACACGGCCCGCGCGGTCCGGACTTCCTGGACGGCGTGCAGAGCACGCGGCTACGGCCAGGGGTCGCCAATGCACACAGGCACATCGGCGGGCACGTCGGCTCGCGAGACGGAGGTCGCGCGACTACCCCAGGTCGCGCGGCTCTGCCGACCAATCGGTGTTCATCAAACGCTTTTTAATCCTTTCCCATTCCGATGACGTACGTGTAACGGAACGGAACCAGAACTGAATCGGTATGTATTCAGGTCAGAAGGCATACCGGGGCTCCCACACGGCCATGCGGGAGGGAGGGCGTGTGGCACGGTTTGGTGCCAGCTATCATGGAGCGTGGTCGTGTCGCTACAGTTATCTGCGGTGATTACAACATCTTTAAAAACAATGACGCTATGCCTCTCGAAATGAAATTAAAGCTGAGCCGCTTGCGCGTTCCGAGATTCAGCGGTGAAAGGGACACCCACCCTGCAGCTTGCAGACGTTTCGGAACGGGGAAGGGGTTCACAAACTCCGTGGTCATTAACGAGACGCGGCTTTGTCGCAGGGAGTGGGAACCCACCCCCCCCCCCCCCCCGCCACCGTGAGTCGTACTCGGCCCCGCAAATTAACTTCACGTGGCTGGAGACTTTCATTTCATGAAGGTCGTGAATAATTTCACATGGCCCCGTGACTTCGTATCATATGGCCCACAATTTAATTTCATGCAGCCCAATACTTTTTTTCATCTCACACAGCCCATGGCCACATGAAGCCTACCACTCGGAAACGGCCCACGAATGAGCGCACCCGCTTTACTGGGTCAAAACCACGCACGCGTGAGCTGTGTTGCGATCGCATGCACGATTCGCCGTGCATTTGTGCCGCAGTGCCAAAGCCTTTTCCTGCTCTGGTTAAGGTTCGTAACGACGCCACCGGTTCATCGATTCAAAATCAAATCAAAGACAGTCTCACGACAATCGAGATAAGGTTGGGGACTGAAACAAGGAAACCTCTCTAGAACACCCTCAAAGCGGAGGCCCTTCCAACAACGGTGGGCGAAGGAAAGCAATTGCAGTGGCCGCAAATCTATCTCTACCCAGGAGCCCTGCAATGGCTGTCTCGTGCCGCGCGTACGTACGTAGAACTTCTATCGCACCGTACGTAGCCAACCATACTAAAGTCGGAGGAGCGGGGGAAGGACAACAAACTAAACGCACAAAAGGTGTCGTTACTGGCAAAAGGACCTCGGCTATAGGCGGCGAGTGAGCCAGCGATCACTCGCAGGGGCCGCCCCTTTATCCAGCAGCCTGGGCGAAAGCTCGGCCGTCTCCGTCGCGTGCCCGCCCGCACAACTGCGTGCGCCCTCACCTGCTCACCCGCACGCTCGTCCGCTTGCTCACCTGCTCACCCGCTCGCCCGCACGTGCGCTCACCTGCTTGCCGTCCAGCGTGTAGAGGCGCTTGACGGCGCCCGTGTCCAGCTTGACGGCGTCGGTGATGTCGGCGAGCACCTGCTCGAACGAGTGCGCCGTCTTCTTGTTGAGCAGCACGCGCACCGCCTTGCGGGGCCGCACGCCAGCGCGGATCACGGTCACCAGCTTGGGCCGGATGAACTCCTTCGCCTCGCGCGTCTCCGGCGTGTGCGCCCCGCTCGCCAGCGAGGAGGGCGCCCGCCCGATCGGCGCCAGCAGGGCCGCCGTGGCCGCGCCGGCGCCCAGCCCGGCGGAGGCGGCGCCGACGCCGCCGACGCCGCCTGCCCCCATGCCGCCGATGCCACCGATGCCTCCGATGCCGCCCGAGAGGGACGAGAGGCCCGAGCCGATGGAGCTGCTCGAGCCGATGCCCACGACCGCCTTGACGTTGACCGACCAATTGGGATTGACGTTCTTGGTGTAGTCGAGCCGGCGGAACGCCTCGTTGGTGGCGCACACGTAGCTCTCGCCTGCGCCGGGGGAAACGCGGGAGGGAGGAAGGGAGGAAGGGAGGAAGGGACACAAACAACAGCACGGTAATGATGGTGGTGCTGATCCATTGGGAGGCCCTAAAGAGGGAATATTTTTTGGGCCACTGGGCCATTGGGGTCACTGCCACCTGCAATTTAGAAACTCCTCATGAGAGGAGCGATGTCAACAAGAGTGCAAGATGAAGTGGAGATGCAGCGAGACGCGTAAAAATGGATACAGACAAGGTAGTAAAATTAGAGAAACGCGGGCAAGATGGAGTCAGATGAAACGATTGAGATGAGAAAGATGAATAACGCTTATTATTTAATTGGATTTTTGTGTTTATTTGGATTTCGAGCTAATATTTTGGTGCATCCCATGTTTTTCTTGATCTGCTTGGAGCCCTAAGCTTTTGTGCGGTTTGCTTAGGCCTAGCATCGCCACTCTGCAATAGCGACAGCAGCAGCGTGGGCATTGATTGGGATGAGAGCGCGGGTGTCGCGTAAATTTCGTAGCAGCTGGGGCAACAGGGAAGGCACGAGAGGGGTTGTGTATTGGAGCAGAGGTCCTCGGAGAGACGACGCAATCGATGGCTTCTCGGAGAGGATCTGCACCAACAATATTTAAATTATTTCTCCGAATGCCACTAAATAATGCAATTTCTCTCGTCAACACCGTGGAAGCTGCACATTGCCAGGAAACATTAAGAGGCTTGTGCTGTACCAATAATGTGCCACAAAACTATCAAGTTAATCCGCACATTAGTTTTGTTTTTATTATGCTAATAATAATAATAAAAGGATTTCCACAAAACACGTTCAGATTGCGGTTGTGACGGCACAGTCAAAGAGTTCAAACCACGAGGTTGCCAGGTGGTGCAGGCATCAGAGACCCGAGCTGGAACCACTGAGATCCTGGATTTGAATCTGGGTTTCAGCCACCACGGGATTAAAGCCCGGTCGGTGATGGTGGCTATGCACATGGCCCGTGATCCAACACAGCGCAGGCAGTAGCCAGGGTTGATGGATCACCGCACACACAAATGTTGTGAAACTCCCTTCCCATGGGCGTCCAGAAGGTGCCCGTACTCTGGCTCTGCCAGGAGAAGGCAGTCCAGCAAGTGGACTAATCGCCATCTGTTTCCATCTGTACAGGGATAGAGTATTGCCCCCTCGCTCGAATGGGTTTCCTCCCACTTGTATAATAAAACGCTCCTCACCAATTGGCTTAAAACATCTTAAAATAAAAACCCAATGCAGGACCCTCTTGAAAGAGAGTCATACAACTCAGAGTGGCTTTTCTGGATAAATAGAAACCTATAGATTTACATAGAGACCCACGACAGATTTGTGTTGACGCAGGGACCAAGAGAGGGCACCGTTGAAAAAACGCATTGAAGTGCCTACTGGCGGCACACTACATCAAGAACAAATTAAGTCGCCCCTCCAATAAATAAATACATGGGGGGGGGGGGGGGGGTGGCCTGCAGACAATGCCAGCAGTTTACACAATGCATCGCGTTTATTGATTGGGGGCTCCCGTCTGGGTTTATTGCCCCACATAGGGGGCAGTTAAAAGGCGGGGGGCAGTGCGTTTACCGTTTAACAACCACTACTGCCTTAAAGCCACAACGACGATGTCCACGTCGTACCGCCATCACCGCCGCCACAGCCATCAGCGCCAAGCGGGGTTGACACCAGATGCGGTATAACGTCGCGTGTCCATTATCCCCCCCCCCCCTCCCACACTGAATGTGGTATTTCTGTACAGAGCAACCAGAGCCGTTCATGGGGGTGGGGGGCCCGGAGTAATTCCCACCGTGTGGGTCTCCCCCGACGCCTTCAGATCAAACCGGAAGCATTGCATCTGACACCGGGGTGAAGCGTGGGGGGGCCCCCCAAAGCACGGGGCCTGGGGCGGTCGCCCTCGATTTGCCGTACACCCTGGAGATGGACGTCGCTGGGTGAAACTCTCGTCTTGTGCGGGTGTTCACAAATCTGACCTTTTCACACACAGTCATGTGTTCTTTATATCACGTGCATTGGCTTACTTGTGAAGTGCGGTAAAAGCATTCTGCAGTGTTTAAAACGGTTTTGTGTAGTATTTATGGTAACCTATATGCGCACTTTGGCGTAACGGTAAATTTACATAGATCTTTGTGTATCCGTCCTGTTTACACATCCGCCCTGCAGTTTAGTCCCCAGCGTGTCCTGTCTAGGATTCCGGGTTCATCCCACGTGATATTGGTCCAAAATGACCGGTAATAAAATTCGGAAGAAATCATCTCCACAGTATTGTCTAAATCGGCGGTTCTTAACTTGGGGTGTACGCACCCGCTGGGGGTGCAAGATGCCCTTTCTGGCGGTGCGAGACGTGGCCAGATTTGATTTTAGAAGGTAAGTCATCGAAACACAAATTAAGCACGGGCAAATAAGTACAACTACTTGTTTAATCAAACCCTCTATGTATTTATTAACATAATGTTTTTTATACTCTTTGGTTCTTTCGGTAAAGTCACGTAGAAAAGAATGTTTTTTTTTATACTCTACGTGACTTTACCGAAAGAACCAAAGAGCATGGATTCCTGCAGTCACGAAAGCTTCAAATCAAGATGATGTTTTTTGTTTGTTACGATTGAGAATCAAGGGGATGCAAGGCTGCAGTAAATGTTAACAATCACTGGTCTAAACTATTAAACTAAAATAAAATGTTGCCAGGCAAGGCCCACTGAGCTACACAACTCTTTTCCAGAAGCGACCTCGGCCACAAATGAGAGCTCAACGAAGTGGCTCATCACGTGGAAATCTACAGCAACGAAATACTCTAAACGCGTGTTTCTAAATGTGGAGGGAAAAACCGGAGGGCCCGGATAAAAATTCATGCGACCACGGGGAGAACATGCAAGCTTCAAATATACAGACGTCAGGGTCGGGATCGAAACCACGACCTCCTGCATACCAGGCGACCGAGTAAATGTCTCACCACAGCGGCACCCCTGTTCACATATTAAACGGTGCTTATGACGCCGCATATGAGGTTTGTGCATAAATTCTAACCGGCTTCTGTGCTGATCGACATTACGGAATTCAAAAACAAAACCGGGCATTTACCAAAATCCTCACTCGGGGGTCATCACTGCAGGCATGCAATTACCAAAGTCAAATTCACTCTGATGTTGCGTGACCATTATTTGATAATTACCTACAGTACACCGATTGGGTTAAGCCTGGATAGCACTTGGAATGGGCGACCGCCACGCATAAAAAAACAGGTGCTATAGGCTCCTGCTGGCCGACGTTGTGGGCAGCAGTGCGGCGCAATCGATTGCGGCACTTGCACTCCTGTGTGCGCTGTGCGCCTACGTCTACGCTCCACACCTTCATCGGCCCGCACTGACCGGCGTGGTGAAGTATAGTCAAACAACTCCCTTGACCGACACGGCACGGGCAGGCCGTCATCCAGCAGTGGATTGATAACGGGGGGGGGCGAGGGGCGGGGGGTGGTGGATGCGTGTACTGTAATGGATTCACACGACCCCTGCAGAGCCAACAGTGGCTGCGACGTTCATCGGTGTGAACAAATAATGAAGTCTGAATGAGGAGGATTTATTGCGTTGCCAGGTGACTTCCACTACATATTTGGACGTTGGTAAGGTTGTCTCAATTTGGCGGGTGTTGTGCATCGAATGTCAAAAATTAAAACCTAATGTTAATGCACGCCAACCTCCACCCTGGAACCCATTTGCACATCCGATCAGCACGGTTGGCTACGTACGGTGCAAAAGAAGTTCAACATACATACACACGAAACTACACCGTATCATCTTAAGTCCCTCATCTCTGCCAAGTCCCTCTTTAGTGCTCACACTTCCCCGAGCCCTCATTATTTTCCCAGCGTGTTGCAATGCAGTAAATTTTGTTGTTTACATTATCAATCCAATTGTATTGTGACATTTATTGCAATTACCCGCACGCATATTCTGTACACAGATACATATGGCAGATCGTTATAATTACAAGAAATCTGAATCTCCACCCATCAGATCCTTTGCCAGTCTGACCCCATGCTGTAAGTCTTGAGCGATGGCTTAGCTCGAGGCAGCTTAAAAATCATTGTCAGTGCTCCTCCAACCGTTAATTAGCGCCAGCAGCCTCCGCTCGTTAAATCGCGGAACGCGCGGCTCCTCCACTCTTCATCGCCACACAATCAGCGCCTCCGGCCAGCGTGACTCTTGCAGCACATTTGGGAGTCCTCGCGCTCAGGGGTATCTGTGAGCGCGCCCGTGTGGCATTTGCTCACCACACAGCGCTCAATCGTGCCCCTAAACCCACTTCGAACCCAGACCTGCAATAAACCGATCACAAATCCTCACGCAAACTGTCACCGAAACCACAACCCCATCCCAAATACTGATCCACAGACTTGAAATATCTCCCAGATCCAATCAACCCTAACCTGGACAATAATCCACTTCATAACTTTGAACTGGGGAAAGACGAACTCGAAGCATAGCCCTTACCTAGAGCATAACCCAGCTTCAAAAGGAACCATAACCTCCGGTCTCACCGTAACTCAGCACTCTCGCATTATCTTTGTGCTCTGAACTAACTTAATTCTCATCCAAAACCTAATCCAGCCCAGATCCACACCCGCATCGCTAAACCCACCGCAGACCCTAACCTTAACCCAAACCGTATCCCAGATCATATACCAGACTCGAACGGCTGAACCCTACCCCAGACCATAGCTGAGATGCAAATTCTAGCCGAGGCCCTAACCGCACACGCCGTTTCAATCTCCATCCATTAGCACGGCGCAAAAGATGCTTAATATCCATCGCCTTCGTTCCCACCAAAGCTCTGCCTTTACACGTTCACCAACCACTAGGGGCACACCACCCCCCCACCTCCACACACTTTGATACAAGAAAGGTTGTAGCAATAGTGTGTGGCAGAGAAACGTGTTATTTTTCTAATTCTCAGAGCAGTTCATTTTTTTGGGAAAATTTACTGACAAATCCCAATTGAATTCGAGGGTTTTTTTGTTGTCTGTGCGGTCATCGGTGACGAAGCTGTGACCATCAACTCACCACATTCTAGAAGTTGGTTTAAATCGAAAATTACCTGCGCTTCGCTCAAGTGGGATTATACATCACAATCATCCTCCCCCACCTCCTCCTCCCTTCCGGCAGACTAATTCCCCAGGTCACTCTTCCACACGAGGCAATCCTGGTCTCCCGAGTTCTCAAAATAGACTTCAAGTCACAGGCAGCCGAATCTCGGACGCTCAGCGGTGCCGTGATGAAGCCTCGCCAAGATATTCCTCACGCCCACGCAATGCGTGGTGGGAAAGCCCACACCTCCCTTGCCCCGTCCACACACAACAACAACAACGAAGCGTGGCGCCTCCACACGCTCGCTCCGATTCTCGAGGCGTGCGAGTGTCCCGCTCCGGCGCGGTTTTATTTGTATTATTATCATCGATGCCGTTCCGTCCTTGCGAGCCCAGAAGGCGCCCGTCACCAGCGCCGTGCTCTGCGCTCGTAACTCTTGCGAGGAGATGAGAGATAGTGGAGGAGGAGGTGGAGGGATATGGGCGGGTGGAGTTCATGCCACGAGATAAATCTCACGCTTTACTGCGCGAGAAGCCAACTGCGCATCGACCCCCGAGTAGCCGGAGCTGGTGCCCCCCCCTCCACCCCGCCCGTGAGCGTCGTCTGTGTCCGTCTATTTAATTTGGGTTCCGCTGCGCCTTGGAAACAAAGATAAAGATGCGCCGCTTTCACGCTCGTAGCTGGGGCGAGAGGGGCGGGTAGGGGGGTTGTGTGTTCATGAGTCACCGTGCCCGGCTGCCTTTGTCTCCCCCCCCCCCCCATTTCCGATGTTTTGACGCAACGCACTATGGGTTTAAATAGCCGCTTCTTACCACTGAACGTTTGCCGTGCTCGGCAATCGAACCCAGACCCCACTGGCATTGAAGCACATTGCGCAAAGAGCCACAACTTCAGGCGATGCACAGTGCGCATTTTTACCTCGGTGATTAATATCAACGCCGACAGAAAGATGGGTCGATGGTGCGGGAATTATTTTGGCCCCCGGCCACATCCATCTCGCCTTGTTTGGTTTTTACGCTTCTTATGTTGTCCTCATTAGGATCATAGGAATAAAGGGTACGATGACTATATGATTACTATGGATCGGCAAACATTGTATCCCAGTTCCTTACGCCGATAATCCCTACTCCAAGTAAGACTAACAGCGGCTTGATAATTGAGTGAGATATTATGCCCTGCTTACACTGACATTTGCAGCATATTCACTGTGGTATTCAGAGTCCCGAGCATCTCAATATTTTGGAGTCATTAGGCAATTAACCATAGCGGACATTAGCCACCAGAGACGTTAATCAGGGATAGGCGAACGTCGAGAGACCGAGGTACAACGCAGGGAGACACGGCAAGGGCACACGCGTCATCCACCACCACCACCACATCGACGGTCACCGCATCGCGGTGCTTTCAAATGCACTTCTGAGGCCGTCTGGAATGCGCCTTCTTCCGAAAATTAGGAAGGCACTGGAGTTGTCTACTTGTAAATCATCCAGATTGCAAACTCATTTCTTTAGAACTGCTTCTCGTGTTTAATTTGTTGTCCTTCCCCCACACCTCCGATTAACAAGTCGGCAATGTGCGCTGCGAAAGAAGTTCAATATACATACACTTTTAAGTTATAACATAAGAGGTGATAACAAAGAAAGATCTGCACAGACGGGTTCATAACCCATTTTTTACCCTCGGACACGCGACGCCCTTAAGATCGACAACTTCTCTGCTCGACACCGGGCAGAGGCATCACCGGGGCAAGCACCGGGCAGCACCGGGTAGCACGTACCCTCGAGCAGCTCGTCGAGGCTGGTGATCTTGTGCTGCCCGTCGATGGTGAAGACGGCGCGCACTCCCTGCGGTAGGTTCACGTTGTCGGACAGCGTGCGGGTCAGGTCGGCGAGCAGCGCCTCGAACGAGCGGAACCTGTCCGGCGAGATGGCGTACACGATGCCCTTGTAGTACTTGTCCCCGTTGCGGTAGAAGCGTACCTTCTTGGCCTTCTTCTCCGAGCTGAGCGCCTGCAGGGTCCGGGTGCGGTACAGACTGCAGTGCGCGCTGTGCGAGGGGCTCGGGAGGCCGTTGGCACCGCGGGAGCCGCGGCTGAAGCGCAAGCCGCGGTCCCGCTCGTCAAAGTGCTCCAGCTCAGAAAACTCCCCGTTAAAGGACATGGCGGCGCTCAGGTGGTGTCCTCTACTTCTTCTTGCTGCTGCTGCTGCTGTTGACGACGACGATGTCGCTGGTGGGCGGCGCTGTTGTGTTTTGACGCTTGTGACGCCGCTTGCCTCGCTGTCTGCCAAACGGTCCCGAGCAGGTGCTGCTGCTTGATTCGGAGCGACGGTGGTGGTCGCGAAGGTGGTGGTGGTGGTGGTTTCAAAAGTGTTGCCTTGTGCAGCGCAGTTGACGTTATCGGCTGATGCGTTCGGATTTCCTTGGCAGGGGGAGTCTTCTCGCGCCTCGTTCACAGACACCTGCACGCCGCACAGCCGAGACAAGGAGATGGATGGAGAAGGGTGGACAGATGGATGGATGCACACACACAGGCACGCATGCACGCGAGTGTTCTTTGTTGGACGCAACGGGGCTACTGGGAAGCGACTGTTGCCGTGACGTAGCTGGTGATGCGATGATGAATGCAACTCGCGGTATCGTCGACATCGAATGCCAACGAGGCAACCGTCACGTTTGGTTGTTGGGTTTTAAAAATGGTAAAACACCTTTGGTAGAAATATCACCGCATCATTTATAATCCATACGGTACGTGTATTATTTCATTCATCGCTGCATTGCTACGAATTACAAAAATAGCTTCACAATTTGAAAAAAAAAAGACATTATCACCTGAAATTACTGGAAAACAAGGGCACACATAATCATGACGATTAATATTAATCTATACCGCCGGAGTTTCACGGAACCCACAACACCGTGCGGAACACATTTGAGAAATTGGTACACAACAAATAATTTTGCTTGCCAGTGGCCCCAAAAACAGCCTCACCGAGTCTCTTAGACCCCCCCCCTCCCTCCTCGTTTTCAGGAGGGTTCTGGCTGGAACGCGACGGCTGGCCAAACGCTCCTCTTTTCAGTATTGTATCGTAACAGCACCGTGGACTCGTCGCTGGCGGGCGACTGTACGCATCTGAGACCGTGATGCGCTGTGCGCGATGCGAGGAGCGTCTGGCAAGGATGGGGTGTGGGTCTCTGCGGGGGATGGGTGGGATGGGTGGTCTGGGTTTGACGTGGGGTGGGAGGGGGGGCAGAGGGTGAAGGAAGTTGAGGGCGGGGGGAGGAATTAAGGCGTTGTGAGCTGGGAAGGGCGGCGGAGGAGGCAAGGGGGGTGCCCAAGAAACACCGATCCGTACATACGGGCGCGCGAACATGCACCGACTTGAACCCACAGACATCTCATGTCAATGCGCGCGTTGCAAAATAAATAAATATATCGAGCAAAGACGATAAGCGGTAGGGAAAGGCAGCGGCGATGAAACGCAGCGATGCACGCGTGGACCCATTAGCATTCATAGCAGCAGCCGCAGAAGCTTCTCTCTCGTCCGCGAAAAGCCTTCACGCACGGTGCTCATCTCCAAGATGATATTGAGAATGATACCGCGTTGCTGAGTGGTGCGCGAGCACAAATAACAAAAAACTGAACATTCGTTAATTAAACTTTATTGCCCGAAATGTCAGTCATTCTATATATTTGTGATGAATATGTTGAGCTCATGTTAGTTGCAGCAGCAGCAGCACTTCCACCAAAACCATGCCCTTCTGTTGTGTGCAGATAATAGTCATCCCATTTTTTCTGGCTTTTTACGATTCAAATGACAGTCTGTGATTTAATAAACCGATAAGCGAACGCAAATCCGCCGAATATAAAGCGAAGGGCAGCGCGTCTGGGTAAGTCAAGTCAGGCAATCACGAACAATAGCCGGGATGACTCACTGACACGCTGACTGACGCAAGATTAATAGATGATGAATATTTTTTTTAAATAACCAAGTTGGGTTTTTTTTATTAAGTCGCGGAACAACGCAATTGCATTTTTTTTTTACCCACAATGAATGCAAAGAGCGAGCTACTTGACCACTGCACGTCTGATAATTTGGGTTTCACGATGGTATTATTCAATTCGGTTGATTGACACGTCGCCGACAGCCGATGGAGAGCGAGCTTCCAATGCAATGCCATTCGAGGGGGCGGTGGCGCGCCCGTTGCTTCACCGAGCCGTGAGCGCACCAGAGGCTCAGGGGCGCGACTCACATTCAAACAAAGAAACGGACATTAGGTCGGTCAGAGGCTCTCTTCCCGACACTAGCTCACACCTTCACTCGCCCGCCCGCCCGCCCGCACTGGCATGCACACAGATTAATTTCAGTCGGGTCCGTTGGCGCAAAATATTCGCGTTACGCGGCACACCACGTCCGGTATAGCCGTCGCTCCGGCTGACACGGCGACTAGTCACGTGTCTACCACTAACGCCAGTCTACCAGCCACCCGCGAAATACCGGGCGAGACGTTAACCCATCGGGATGTGTACACAATACCGTATGTAGAATATCGCGCGCGCACACACACACACACACGTGGACAACGCCGGTGTTTGCGTCTCACCTCGAGGCCGCGTGGGCTGCTCTCTACGCGCGCTGTGTGGCTGGGAGCTCTCCCCGCGCGCCGCTCTTTGCAATGGCTCGGGGTGCGAATGTGCGCGCAGGCGCGCCGAGGATGGGGAGTTTGCGATAGGGAAGGGGAGGTGGGGGGAAGAGGAGATCGCCCTCCCATTCTCGGGCTCACTCCCTCCTCTTACTCCCATCTCACCCCCCCCCCCCCAGTCCCTCCGTCCCTCCCTTCCTCCTTCCCGCACGCCTGCCCAAGCTTCCCGTGATTCGACGCCGCTCGCTACGGGTGGTTCCCCATCCCTACCGCCGAATCCAACATCGCCACCACTCCCATCATCACCTCCTCCATCACCACCACACGTACTGTGCGAAAGAAGTTCAACGTAGATATATACCGCCACTATCACAATCGCCATCATCACTCAGCGTCAGCAGTTGCGCGCCTCCCCTTCCTCTCTCCTCCTACGCCTCTTCATCATCATCATTAATATCCATCAACATCACCATTATTATCCATCATCACCCCACAGTGCGCACAGCCTCGCGCGTAGCCCAGTCCTTGTCCTCTCACTATCATCATCGTCGTCACCACCACCACTCAACGTACGCAGCCGGCCAGAGGTGTAACGGTTCATCCACCCAGACGATTCGATGAATTGTCACCATTCCGGAACCAGGACTCTCATAAACGAGACTCGCCCTGTTCCCTATCGTGGTGGACGAAGCACCAATCGTGGCCGCAACGCTCAGGCGACAACGACAGCGAAGACGATTCGAACCACATCCATTCTGCAGACGCAATACTCGCTCGTCAAATCCACAAATCGTTTACACCGCCAACAGATTATCAGAAATAGACTACCGTTGTCAGATTGTGGTTATTGCAACGGTCACTAGCGGTGGCCGGGATCAGGTGAACGCATCACGTGTACGACTCGAACAAATAATCAGTTTCTACACAAGCGATTCGAAGCACGCATGGTGGCCGTTACGACATGAACGATGCATCGTTACATCACTAGATTCCATCCCCCCCATCCACCCCCTCCTTCCCCTTCTCCAATATTCCACGCTTTTTCTCACACGTCTCTGATGTGAAGATCATGTCTCGGATGCTAAATTATGCACAGGCACGTGCGTGCGCGCGCGCTCGTGTGCGTACACGCGCGCGGATGCGTGCACGCGCGTGCGTGGTGGGGAGCGGTAGCGAAACTGCCGGCGCTACGCTGCGCTACGAACCCAGCCCTACCCGAGTTCGATTCGTCGCTCACGGCCAACACCTGTGACGATTAGCTGAATCCGTCCTGGGCCTCCCGTTGCTCGACTTGGCCTTTAACGGGTACCCGGTTGCTGCGCGTTTAAACTTCGGCTCTGGGGAGACAAAGGCGACCGGGTGTGGCGTTGGCCACCGAACCACCTTGCATGCCGTGCTGACGACCTTCATGGGCGTTCGCCAACAGCACTTTGCCCCGCGAGTCTGCGTAGGCTACACGGGGGATCTTTATCTTTGGCGCGCTCCCCACGTGGTGTTGTCCCGGCTCCCGAGATCCGAGAGGCTCGTGCGCACACCCGGTGCGAAGAGCGAATCGTTAATTGTATAAATTACACAACGCGTGCCTGTCCCGAGCTCGCTACCCGAGTCGGTAGCGTCATCTCGCCACCGTTTTAATCATCCATCAATAACCGTCGGCACATTCATCACCGACAACACCAGCCTGCCGCCACTGTCGTTACCGGCCCATCATTTCTCACGGATTGTATATATCGCTGCATCATCACTATCGCAATCACCCAGCGATCTTTAATAGAATTACCACGAGCAGCAGAAGCAGCATCACCGACCACTAATCTTACCGACAGCAGCATTATCATCAGTAGCATCGGCATCCGCATTACCATTCGTTTAGTAATCAACAACCACACTATCACCACAACGTCCGATCTGCACCCCAGCTTAGCACTGTCGGCAACGTAATGTGCGAAACAAGTTTAACATAAATACATGTCAAATTTTGATTTAAAGCTTTCGTGACTGCAGTAATTCATATTCTTAGTTCTTTCGGTAAAGTCACGTTGAAGGGAAACAATAAAATATATACAAAACAATAAAAAATTATCACGTATGCATGCAAACCGACACACCTGATGACGACCGTTTGTGTTATGGTCGAAACGTCGTGAGAATTTTTATTGTTTTGTATATATTTTATTATTTTATTGTTTCCCTTCAACGTGACTTTACCGAAAGAACTAAGGATATAAATACATGTCATTATCACCATCTCCACCATTATTAAATCACAATCTTCACCACTGTTTACCATCTCCACTGCGACTACCAAGCCAGCAACATTATCATCACAATCACACTATGACCATCGCCTTATCATCATCAGGGCTACATTTCAGGCGGAGCTGTCCAGGCCTGAGCACCGGAAAATATATTCACGACCGGGTAGGGGAGAGTTGGGTGGGGATGATGGTGGTGGTGGTGATGAGTTAAGCCGCGGCCATCATCAAAACACATCGCGCTTGTCTGTCAGAATCATCGTCATCATCATCCTGCGCCAGGGGCCGGCTTCCTGCGGTGGAGTCGCGTGCGGTGGCTCTTTAAGGAGCTGCTTCGTGGCACTCTTGATTTATTAAGGACCCACGGTCTCTCGTATTCACCACACGGTGCTTTGCGGGTCTTGTTTTTAAAATTTTAACCAAATAACAAAAAATGTTCTGCTTGTTATTTTGGTTGCCGACCAACACCCCATCCCCCCACTCCCACTGATCTGCACCAACATACGTGCTAGCAACATACCTGCTAGCAACATACCTGCTAGCACCATCCCTGCTACCAACATCCCTGCTACCAACATCCCTGTTACCACCACCACCGCAGTCACGACGTAAAAGACAGCGACAATTGCCCGCCCATACGCTGCTGTAAAAAAACCCCTAAAAATAACCGTTCCTAGCAGATGTAGAAGATGATGATGATGATGATCAGGTGACTCACCCGACACAAACACGACCTCCCCCCCCCCACGCTGAGCAGAGAGGTGGGGGTCGCGTCAAACGAGACCAGTTCAGGGGCCATACGGAACAGAGCAAAATGGTTCCGAGGCTGCAATTCGAGCAATCAGTCGCTCGGCTCGCCTCGACATCAGCCCGTCCACGTGCGCGCGCGCGCCAGGTCACGTGAACACGGTGATTTTAAAGTCCCATCGGCAATGCCGAGGCGCAGATTCGATGCATGGGCATCGCGAGATTGACAATCGCTATTGATCGATGCATGTGTTCGCCACTCCGCCACGTAATTCGTGTGAATGTACAGCCCTTGGTCAATCCACTGCTGGATGTTAAGGTCTCCGATGGGGGGAGGGGGTGGAGGTTGACTATACTTCGCCACGAGAGTCGATGCACCTTTAACCTTTCCTATACATTAGACTCCGATCGTGTTTTGTTGTACTGTTTGTTATTGTAGCGTTCCGACCTGCATCCTACTGGACATCTGTGGAAAAAAAAGAGCTTTATAGCTCATCGGATTCCTCCAGTATAAATTCAGATTCGGATGTAGATGAAGGCGCTGGGGGTGATATACCCATGCGTGCCCGTGGTCGGGAATCGAACTCACGCAGGCCGGCTTGGTATGTCAATGTGTTAACTCGTAACCACCGCTCGACTCCCAACATCTACGATACATGCAGACTTATCCAGGGTACGTACACGAGCGTAGGCGTGGTTATGCAGGATGTTCGCATTGTGAGAGGGGAGCGGTGGCTCAGCGGTTAGCGCACTCCGCCAACGAATCTGGCGACCCGAGATCGATTATCGCTCACGTCTAACATCAGTGGCTAATCGAACCGGTCCGTGCCCCCCCCTCCCCTCTAGCTCAACTCAGCCTTAAATCAGTATTGTAACCGGTGCGTTATGTTAGCATCACCACTGGGGAGACAAAGGCGGCCGGGCTGAGCGCTGCCCACCGATTCCTCTCGTGCGCCGTGCCGGCCTTAATGGGTGCTCGCTAACAGCACCTGCCCCAACAGTTTGGTAGGCCACACACGGAGGGGGTCTCCTTTGTCTTTGTGTGCATTGTAACAATAGAATTTGGAATTACTGCATTACGTCATCAGCTAGATACGTGCGGTGAATGCGCCTCAAGTTTATTTTAACAAATAACAGCATCGCAATAGCATAATCATTGTTTCCCATTACGAAATGATAACGACGATGATGATGTCAATCATATATAATGCCCATTATTGTTGCGGTCATGTAGAGAGAGTTCTTTCAGAAAAATAATCTCGAGACTCAGTGAGGCGGCTTTCCTCGGCACGTGACCTCCGGAGGAGCGGTGGCGCAGTGGTGAGCGCGTTGCGCTATAAACGCCCTCCCCGGTTGGATTCCTGGCCACGGCTGCGAACGCAACTCGGCGAGCGGCGTCTAAACCGGTCGTCTGACAAATCCTCCCACCCACTCCCCCCCCCCCCTTCAGAACCAACCCGCACTGACCACCGTGAAGTATGGTCAACCCTTCTCGCACCCCCACCCCCACCGACCATGAACGACCGAAAGCTTGTTGGGGGCTGGGAGACACCCATCGAGCAGTAGATTGATTGACAGAAATCCCGTGCATGTAGTCGACGCGTTAAACGTTACGAGATTACAGATTTTTTGTCGTTTCCCCCAAGTTGGCTCAACGAGGTTGAAAGAGAAAACTCCTCTCGCCCTCGAGCATTCGCCGAGCTCCGCCTGGTGGCTGCTGCTGGAAGGCTCAGCGGGGATCCCACGGACACTCCAGATTAGAATGAGCACCAATACCCCCGGGCCATTCGACACGGCGCCTGTGCCAGGCCAGGTGCACTTTGAGGCTGCCACGTGAAGTGTCGAAGGCTCGCTGACAGGAGGTGGTCTCGGGACAGACCCAGCAGGTGCCATGGGTCGACCCACTGAGATCACCGGTAGACGCACCACCAGCTGTACCACCTACTGTGCCAGGCAAGGTGCAGGAGGTCTCGGGACAGACCAAGCAGATGCCATGGGTTGGTTGACTGAGATGACCGGTAGATGCACCACCAGCTGTACCCCCTACTGTGCCAGGCTAGGTGCAGGTGGTCTCGGGACAGACCCAGCTGGTGCCATGGGTTGTCTGACTGAGATCACCGGTAGATGCTGTACCCCCTTACTTTGCCAACTTG